AACAACAAAAAGACACTAAATATAAATAAGATGTTGTATGAGTGCCAATGAGACAACTATCCATCCAAATCACAATGTGTAAAAAGTAAGTACAGATCTGAGAGTACTCGAAGTTACTGACAGCAAGTTCAAAGCCAATAACAACTAATTAAAAAAATCATGCATCTAAGACTAAATTATCAATCAATACACATCCAACATCCAATATATTTAATATAAAGACGTCATAAACTGTTAGAGAAAAAATACATGACCTTTTGCAATGCCAAGATACAGGTATCGACAGGTTGTAGAGCTATGAATGTGCATATGTACTTGATTTTCATATGATGAAGACATAATCTTTCAATCAGTTTAATAGAGATCTGGATCTGGCATGTCAGTAACTGCTAGTTGTCCTTTGTTAATTTGTGTATCATTGTCGTTTTGCTTAGTTTCTTTTGTTACCTATTCTGACATCGGACTAGGACTTCTTCTAAACTGAGTTTTACGTAGTTGTGCGTATTGCTAATTGTTTCTTTATTCTACATTGGCTATAGGTATAGGGGAGGGTTGAGATCTCACAAAACATGTTTAACCCCGCCGCAGTTTTGCGCCTGTCTCAAGTCAGGAGCCTCAGGCCTTGTATGTTTTTTTAATTTTAGTTCATTTATATATTTTTTGGAGCTTAGTTTGACGTCCATTTTCACTGAACTAGTAAACAATTTTATTTAGGGACCGGCTGAGGACCACCTGCGGGTGCGGGATTTTCTCGCTGCGTTGAAGACCCATTGGTGGCCTCCGGTTGTTGTCTCTGACATATTCCCCATTTCTATTCTCATTTTATTAACAATAATATTTAGTTTGCTTTTAATTTATTGATAAAAAAGTCAATGTTAATACAAATAAATTCAATATTCAAAGATCTAATTACAGTGTTGAATTGGCAACCTTTTAGAATAAGTTTATTTAAAGGATCGATAAGTTTACCCGGATCGTTTTAAAATTTCCTGGCTCGGTAAAAAAACATCTCCTTAAAAATGAGGAGGTGCTATCCCGTTTGAAATAAGTTTTTTCTACAGGTAACCAAACTTCAAAACCAAATCTGTATATCTATGGAAGAAATTAGTAAAGGTTTTAAGTAATTTGTGGTAACGAAATCCCTGACTAAATAATTTACAAGTAGTACATAGATTACGTTCATTAAAATCCAAAACGTCACAACAGACACGGGCATAGCGAACGAGTTATGATATATAAACACCGAAGATGGTGCCATTGGAACATCACCATCCAAAAAAAGAAAAATTAACAATAGGGAACGATAAATCGTCCCTTTGTCGTAAATTTTAGTAAAAAGTTTCCCGTGTAAAACTGAAATATCTAAATCTAGGAAAGGACAGCTATTCGGAAGTATATTTAGAAAGATCTTGATAATTTAACGAACAAAAATCATCAAGATAACTGCAAGTGTTGTTGAATTTATCAATTAAAAGCAATCATCTCATCACACCTCCAGTAAGTATATCTAGCATATTTACCTTTCTCATTAGAGAAGAATGCTTCAAATGAGTTGCAGCAAATATTTTTGCATTTAGATTTACCAAACGACCATTTAATTAAATAGGAAAACTTTTGTTTGATAAGATTGTGTGGAAGTGTAGTGTAAAGAGTTGAAAAAAGTCAAAACTGTCAACAGAATCTCAAAAGTACCATCAAAAGCACGCAATTTATCTAAAACATAATTCCACTATTTTCATATATTTTATTACAAAAGTTAATGATAATTTCTTTGATGGTAGTTAAGGAACTAGTAATGAGCACTGAAAGATTTGTTATAGAACACTTACTATAGGCCGAGATGAAAGGATATTTTACTGGTTTTTTGGTTGTTTTTTGTGTGTGTAGTTTTGGTAACCAATGCATAGTAGGGACCTTCAAATGTTCAAAAGAGGCCTTTAGCTGTGATGTGGTTATGATATGGTTGTTTACTATATGACTCTCTGTGGAGCGCACGGACTTGAATGTAGATGAATTTAAAATTTCATTCTTAAGAACGTCCATGTAGTATTTACGGCATACCACCACCACATTGTTGGCTGCTTTGTCGGCCGGTACAATTACCAACCGCTTTGAAAGTTCTTGAAGTTTGTTTCTTATTCTAGAAATAGGCGTATTAGTACTCTTTTATTTCTGAATTATTTTCAAAATTTGATATTCGAATATCCACAACATTCATACATTTATTTAAATAAGAATCAACGGATTTTTTATCAGATTTTTCCCGTTTACACCAATTTTTACAATACGAAGAAAGAGCGTCTTTTGTGACCTAACGACACTGTTTCCATTCTATTTTAGATGGAGGACGATATTTTGGTCCTTTTTCAAATAGTTTTTAACCTCTCGGTCTTGAATGTGGGTCTCATTGGGGTCTAAGCGTGACCCGGGATTGCCGATTTTTTGTAAGCGTGACACGTGAAAGTCAAATTATTGTGCCGTGAAAACGGGAAATGAAGTCTAGCAGAACACGGGAAATTACAAAAAAATGAGAATTGCTTACGTACATAGTGTAAGCGGGATACGGGAATCTGACAAAACAGTAATCGGGATCCGGGATCAGAACCCCCCAATGAGACCCCCTTGAATGATATTGAGGTCCCCCGTAATAACATGGCCATATGGATCATATCTAAAATTCGACGATTCACATTTTTAAGTTAGATGAGTTTTATTTTCTACATCTACGTCTGATGTGACTGACGTATAATTAAAAATTAAATTTCTGCTGGTTTTTTTTGTATGTATACGAAATAATAGGTGGTTCTGTTTTATCAAAATAGGGAGGTGTAAAGTTTTGAATGGTAGAGCCATTAAATATACTCGATAAAATGATGAAATCAATACCGCTGTTAATATATTTAATTTTCAGAAACTACCGTTTATGATCCTCAGGTTTATCGATACGCGGGAACAACCTATGGTGGCAAAAAGCTGTAATTATACGCAAATATTCTTACAGTGGGCTGAAGAACGAGACTTTGTCACACTCCTTGAAAATATTATGTAATTTACTAATTTGTATTTGACCCAGTCTACATAATAGCTGATACCTACCATTGTTTTTAAATATAAATAGATCATCAAGTGTATAATTTATACGATGTTTAATTCGTTGATTTCGATTAATACGTTTGTCATAAGACCTATTATTACGTTGTGTTTTATCAAAAATATTCATGATATCAATAGAAGAAGTTTAAGATATGTCCCTTGACCAAGTATATTGTCATTTAGACCCAGGTGTATGCTGTCTGCAGTCGATTAATCCAAGACAGTTCGATAATTTTAAGCGAATCTTCAAATTGTTTAAGCGATTGACCTTGTTGTTTCTGGATCGTTTCGAGTGGTTGGGATCTTATAAATTTAATATTCTGGTTGTGTTTACCTAAATGTTGGTAAATTATACTTTTGAATTTCTAAGGTTTTCGGAAGAGGTATAGTTGTTCCTGTGTTCGTTTAAAAAAAATACCGTCCTGTTTGTCCTACATATTGTATACCACACTTCAGCAATATGTAGACAGCTCTCGCACATTGCCACATTGTGTACCTTTACAAGTTCGAGTTTTGTTGACCATATGTTGTTCGTTGATGTCTGTAGATGGTATCGGCTGTTTGTGGTTGGTGTTGGTCTGCATTGTGAAATAAATTTGTTACTGTAAATTCAGAAATTATTGCGATGTTTATATTCCTGTTTCTTTTTTGTGTTTTTTGTTTTTTTTTTATTTATTTAGCTTTTGTTTTTATTTAATGGGTCCAACTGAAACCGATTCAGTTGTTTTCTGATGGTTTTTAAATGCACTTTTTTCGAATAATGTAAAATTGCGATATATCAAAACTGTCTTTAACATTGATGAACCCCAAGACGTATAGTAATTTAATCATCTCTCTTCCTTTTCCCGACTGGCATTGTACACGTGTAGAGTTCCACGCTCTTTGTACGCTTTGGACCCTTGCAACAACTCTTTTATAGTCTACAATTTCATAACCTGAAATCCACCACGTCAACCTCTACTTCAGGATCTACCCATTGTATGAATGGTTCATTTGATATCGTCTAATATCAATCAATATCAATGGTTAACGATAAATAATAATTAGATTAAAGAAATATGTTTAAATTAATTTTGAAATCTTTAATCTGTTTTATTTAGATCCTCATATTTGACTCCAGTTAAACAAAATAAAAACAAAAGCATTTGACCCTATGTGGAGACAAAAAAAAAAAGGAAAACTGGCTCTACCTTTTTGCAACATGCCTCGGTTCTTTAATAAGAATGATAAACATCACAAAATTTCTAGCTTCGAAGATTTTCTTTTATAGGAGGCACATTTAGAATATTTGTTTTGTTTTTATAAGTAGATATAGGAAGATGTGGTATGAGTGCCAACGAGACACTTCTCCATCCAAGTTACAATTTATAAAAGTAAACCATTATAGGTCAAGGTATAAAGTATTCTTAATCTTTTAAACCTGACCTGTTACATCCTTGTGTCTCTATTATTCCTTCTCTAAACATCAGGTCTTTATTTTTAACACTGTAATTTACTTAACCATATCTACTGTTACACACTGTGGATTCATCAATTTTCGTGGGATACCAGTTTTCATAGATTTCATAAATATAGGTCAACCAAGTACATTTGGTAGTAAAAAAAGTTTTCTTAATCCTCGACAATAAATGAATCCACAGTATTCAGGTAAGTATGTTTACTATCTCAACTATTTACTTTTTGGCATTTTGTCATGAACTTTTAACCATACAATTAGGTATAATGTATTTCTAACATGGGAAGTCTGTCCTTCATCTAGAGTATTATTCCAATTGACTCCATTTTGTTTAAAGTTTTGTGCCATCAACAAAAAAGGAGATGTGGTCATTTTTTAACCTTTTATTTTCTTCTAAAAAATTTAAGGAACACCTGACGTCATTAATATTAAGCTTTCTATTATTTTATAGGTGGACAAGTTCACAACTATGATGGGATCAAGAAACCTGAAGATATTAATACTGACTACAATGGTGTTGGCAATTGCAAGAACATGTAAGCCATGATTTTAATATCACATAAAAAGCGTTCTCTTGCTGCTGGTGTACTTTCGGAAGTTTACACCTGCGACGTAATATATCCGCTAATTCACAAGATAGCAAGGATTAAACATAGGTGTAATATGCCTTGGACATGTTGGATTGATTGATTGATTGTTGGTTGGTTGCTTAACATCCAGTAGCAAATATGTCACGCATGTTCAGGACGGGAACAAATTAACTATAAATGCAATAGGTAGGTCCCTAACAGAAGCTGTCCGGGATGAAGGTCGGGGAAATTTGAATTGTAACTGGAAAATGAAGGTATATTGGATAGGGACTTTTAGTCTTGTGACAGGCCGCCTTCGGACCCCTCAAAGAGTTGTTGCATGAGTTCCCAACGTGCAAAGAGCGTGGCACTCTCTATACACGAGGCATCAGATTTAACGTCCCCATTCTGACCGGACGTGGCTGCGAATTTGTACAACCATACGAACGCCCAACTTTGGCGAGGATTTTACTGCCGGTCTTAATACTTAATTACTGTGCTCTTACTATTTAAGTATTGGAATGGGAATATTGGGTGGGACACGTAAGTTCTTTTGTTTTTATGTATGCTGTTAAGAAATATTTTCTATAAACATCTTTTGCGAAATTTTTAAATCAGACTTTTTAGGATTGTAACTTCCTGTGTATTTGATAATAAAAGAGAGTTGCTGAGTTGCGTAAATACGTTAATGCTATTTGATATAAAATATAGAGCTAAATATTATAAAAATAATATAACCGACATCAACAAGGAGCATGCTTGCCTTAAATATACAGTAATTAAAACAAGACTACACACATAACCCGTATGTTCATCTGGCTATGTATTTGCTTTGAAACGATAAGAGGAATATGGGAAGACAGTTCTATTATGTGGTTTCAGAGGAGTTCCGATGACAAACTGTTGCGCTAGTATATTTCGGCCAAAATTCTAAGTTCGAAGGGGCATAACTCCTAGAATAAAAAATTGAATCATAATTTCCTGTCGATATGCATTTCTACATAGTATGTCCTTATTATCTACAAAGTTTTATGAAATTCTGTTTTGCGGTTCCAGAGAGTTGTGATGACAAGAACGGGAGTGACGGATGGACGGACGGACGGGTTAAAAACATTATATCCTACGGTGTATAATAATACCAACAACGATAAGACACGTTAAAGTCATGTTTTCTTTATTTTGTTGCAGATGATGATACGTGTAATTTCGTTATGATCAAACATTGTAGTACTGATTATAACGATTGTGTCTGGCTGAATGAGTGGTGTGACGGAAAGACGGACTGTGCTGACCTTTCTGATGAGGCCAATTGTACAGGTATGCGATTGTCTATGACAAAATGTTTCGAGTAATTTGAAAAAAATGAGGGAGTACGATAATGACCATTATTTGACCCATTTGGAACAAATTAATAAGCTCACAAGTTCCCTCAAAATGCGAATTTTATTGACAAATGATTAGTATGTTATTTCCGTGAATGGACAATTATGACTTATTTTACAATTTTTGGCATAACCTAATAGATCAGTAGACACAGAAAAAGCAAAAAATATCTACAATACAAGATCTACAAAAATGCCAAATACTCACGAAACCATTTAAAAAATTATTGGCATAAAATGATTTTTTTTAATAAATTTTGAACTTTAAAATCTATTATTTTCAAACCGTACTGATCAGTAAAACCTTAAAGAATTGTCTGGAATTTTATAGACAAATGATTAGTATGGGAAGGACAATTTTAGACTTATTTTATAATGTTTGGCATATTCTCAAAATCTAATAGATTAGTAGAAACATAAAAAGCAAAAATTATCTACAGTACAAGATCTACAAAAAATGCCAAATATTAACGAAACCGTGTAAGAAGTTATTGCCATGAAACGATTTCTTATACTTAAAAACCGTTTATATAAGTAGAAACTTGAAATTGAAAAAGAAATTATCAACAATACAAAGACAGATGAGCGATAATGGTCCGTCCTTAAGAGCCTCTTGCTTAGTTTTTGTGCTCCCTATAGATTACTTTTTTGTAATCTATCATATAATTAAAAAAAAAAACATTTGAGAACTTTTATTTATTGTAATGTGTATCAATATGTTTCAGAATATACATGTTCAAAATATAGAACAAAGTGTGCTAACGGATTCCAATGTCTGTACAGACACCAGTTTTGTGACGGAGAAGTAGACTGTACGGATGGTAGCGATGAGGATGAAGATTTCTGTCAAGGTAAATTCAAGGGAATATATATGTATAGAAAGTAGGATCTGCTTATCATCTATGGTCATCTGACTTCGTGTTCATATTTGAAAGGAGTACATAGGCAAAAAGTATAATTTGTTTTTGAGTGTTTGCTTTTTTTGATCTTTTTTTTACGTTTCCTGCAATGATTTTTTTAGTTTGTCTTATTTTATTTTTGTTCTAACTAAATTCCGTTATACAATTGTTAGCGTTTGGGTTTGATACTTATATGTGTTTTCATAACGAGTGAGAATGGGATATCGCTTGATATCAACTCGAGTTATTTAATTTCAACATAAGAGAAACAGATTTAACAACTTTGTAAAAATTGGATATTAATTGATATCAACTCTTGTCATCTAATATAAATAGTAAACATAACTAACCGAAGGCTCGTTTATCATTAAATTGAATTAAATGAGTTGTTAGACCTGTTTCTCTTATGGTCAGCACTCTTGAATGTCTGAAATGAAAAATTCCGCGAAATGTCGATCTAGCCTTTTGCATATACCAGTATGACGCCATATGTCCTTTTCCGGTGTCAAACTTCAACATCAGACATTTTAACACTTTTTGTACGCTTCGGAAGGAAATAAAATTTGACAAAAAGAAGATTGTCAGGTGAAATGTTTGAATGTTTTGTATATTATTGAAGAAATCACAATGTCCGTTGCCATCGACAAAATGTAGCCTTTGAAAGTCATCATTTACCCTAACGAATAACCATTGGAATTGCCGTAATATCTTCTTGTGATGATGATCATCCAATCAAATTAACGCAGATGATCGTATCACACTCTGTGCAGTGTGATACAAGAAATATCTATTCATGCAAGAAATAGATAACAGGCCACAACCATAATAGAAAAATATTTGATCAACCTCAGAGATATTCACTAAGGCCATCAGCTATATAGCGACGAACGCAATTTCAAATATTAAAACAAAAAACAATTTTAGAAAGCAGAAAAAAAGTATTTCAATTTACTAAAACTTTAAACGAAATTACTTATTTACAAATAAAATTCAACAAAAAGATAATGTGATAAAAACCAATATCATTTTAAACTTGTACATCTTGTTTATATTTGGATTTTTTTGGAATTCATTTTCATAATTAAACAATTATTTGAACATGAATAATATTGAATACATCATACAAGTTATTTGCATTACAATGTTTTCTAGAAAAATCAATACATTATCTTAAATAGATATAAGAAGATGTGGTATGAGTGCCAATGAGACAGCTCTCTCATCCAAGTCATAATTTGTAAAAGTAACATGTTTAATGGTATACTTGCAATCGTTAGGTAAACATTGTGGTAATATTCTTGTATGTGTTATTCTAATATGACAAATACGGCATCTAGAAATAACACAATTGATCTTTTCTGCAAATAACATTAAAAAATAGTTTACAATTTATGGACTTCATAGACTAGACGTCATCGAAATAATCATCAAGAATTCCGTAGTTTGTAGGACCTGAAGTAAACATTAATATAAATATAAATATACAGGCAAAGACGCAAGCACGTGCAATCGTATAATAACTATTTTTCTAAGTCTGATTTCATATCATAACCATCCCCCTCTCCTTGAAGTTATATGGTTACTCCTTTGCATGTTAGTTTCTCGTTTTCTACACACATCAAACCTTCTCTATATCGCAGTAATAAAGAGGAACGTTAAGCTTTAGACTTAAGAAAACCATTATAGAAATAAATTGTCGATAATTAATCGTACTTCGATATTAAGTCAATTTTTGCCCTTTCATTGTCATTTTTTATTATGTTACCCTTTCTTTAAAAGTCCTTGTTCCATTTTTTGACAGATGTATAGTTCTTTATTTCAGACTATAAATGTTTGGATGGATACATAAAATGTCGTGATGGACAACAATGCTTTAGGGTAGATGCTATGTGTCGGGATATTACTTGGCGTAATCATTGCAATGATGGCTCTGATATGGACGAAGAATTTTGTAAAGGTCAGTGCAGTTTACTTTTCCCTGTCCCTCTGGTATCTTTCGTCCCTCTTTTACTTCCTTGAGATTAGACTTCTTCTTTGAAAACATTCAAAGTAAAGAATAATTAAAATCTTAATGTTAACAAGTAAATAGTATAAAATATGACGTGTAAATAACCTCATCAAAGATTCCAGGCTTTCGATTATGTACGCAATACGCCTGAATTAAAGCCAGACCAAATAAAACACAACGTTAAAGTGCACTGATGACCTGAAATTCCGAAAGATTTTGCCAAATATAGCTACGGTAATATATTCCTAGTGTAAAAAACCCTTTTTTTTCTTCGAAATATTAAAAGTTTTATAAATGCAGCTGACAAATACCTGGTATGTATTGCGAGATTGTAATTGCTCATTGTTAAATAATGATCAATTATTTGCGATATATTTTATGCCTTCTTGCTTACTCGATATCGTGTACCAGGAAGAAATCCAATCTGATATATATATATATGTATTATATGTATACTTTTTTGCAGATGCAGATTGCGGTGCAAACGCAAGGAAGTGTGATGATGGTACTCACTGTGTATATGAAGCTGAAATGTGTAATGGATTTCAGACCTGCCCCGATGGCAGTGATGAAGCACCGCAAAATTGTACAAAGGGTTAGTAAAACAAATAAAATTAAAATAAAAAATGAAATAGAAAATAAACGGATTTAAAATGGTAAGTGGATGAATCAATTTCTAACGTCATAATCATTTCGCAAAAACAACTGTGACACTAAATCATAACTCGGTTCATTGATATAATTTTGTAAAACGATTATTCGTGGTTTCTTGATTGAAAGAGTATGCATATGCTTTCACCAGACGCAGAGGAGATACCAAAAGATAGTTAAACTCGTCAGTCGAAAACGACCGAAAGACCAACCGTGTACAAAATACAACATAACAATAGAAAACTATAGACCAAGCAATATGAACCCCCACCAAAAAATCGAAAGGATCTCATGTGCTCCTGAAGGGTAGGAAGAGTCTGCTTCTTTCGCCATGGTGTGCGCAAGTAAGTACACTTGCAATCATGCGAGTCTTATGTTTCCAATCGAGTGTAGGTAGACAAAATAATTACGGGTTACATACTTGGGTAAGCCTGCTACGGATGATTCCGACAACAAAGGTTGGCGTGTTATACACCATTGTGTAGATAATTCAATTTAAGTTTACGGTGTAACAAGTTTTAGTGGGGTTGACATCCGAGAAATCGAAATATAAAGGAATTTCGTGACCGGGTGACATTTTTTAAAGGCAAAAATGCGAGTTAAGTACCTTGTGTTATATTAAGGTATATAGGGAAAAAAATTTCTGACAAAAGTGCCTGTGAGGGAAACCCAAACTCTCGAATACCGTATCAGCTGAGAGATAAATACTTTATATGGAGATGATGCTGGAATGCCGCTACATTGAAATGAAAGGTTCACAATAAGAAAGATGATATCCTCTCTTTTCTAGTTGGTTTTGTTTTTCAACAAACCCTCATTGTCAATTTGTAGATGTTAGTCCAGATTTAAATTAGAAATAGCTGAGTCTTTTGTATCCTTACTTTGAGTGGGATACATGCGTTTATCTTAGTCACTAAACATTGAATTATTCAGTGAGAAGACAAAATTTATATAACGAAACGTGAAGTTAAAGAATAATACTAGCTTCTTTTAAACATCTGCATAATGTCCGTTTCAGATAATGTTTTCTGTAAATCAGAGTGGTGTTTTCACAAAGTTCCATTTATTTCTACTTGAAACACGATATTTGAATCTACGTTGGCCATTCTTTTCTTTTCAAAGTTAGAACAACGTGTAGGTTAGTTTTGAATGAGGAGTATTTGTGTAAATGGTAGAAAAGTTAACCGTTTTAATAATATTGCATGATTCATGAGACTTAGATTGTATATACTCTCTAGAATGACCAACCAATTCAATTATACACTCAAGAGCAAGTAGTTTCACAATTACTATGAAGCCCGGCTGTAATAACTAAAAAAAAACTTGACGACTCAGTCTGTGCCAAACTGTTTTAGAGTTTGTCTGACCGAAAAAGAAATTTGGCCTTTTCTACTATATTTTCAACTAAAAAATCTCGAAATTTCTGTCTGACCGAATGAATTTTTGTCTGACATTTTGTCGGTCAGAGTTTAGGATACACTGTGATGTTAGCATTTTAGATAGAAAAGTTAATGCAAATATATATAATTTCCGGAATCCTGTCTTCCACAGCGTGATCCAATCCTTATCTGTGACTTATCTTTATATGTATCCTTTTAACATATCATAACAGACAGTCAATGTCAATATGGTTTATGGAAGTGTGCCAATGGAGTCGAGTGTATATACGAAATGCGTGTCTGTGACAATTGGTGGTATTGTAGTGACAAATCAGACGAGAACCCAGAACTGTGCACTCAAGGTATAATACAATTATTCTCAAAAAGATCTGAATATCTTTTTAAAGATGACCCTTGCCATGTTTGATGTCATACAATAGAACTCATCCCTTCATCCACGATATCTATTTCGCTTAACCATTTTAAAGAAAAAGTGAAAACTTGTAAATGATACTGCATGCCTACTTGAAGCCAAATAGAGCTTTAATAAATAATAAAACTTAAATATCACATAAAATTCGTAAAAAGAAAAACAAAATAATTTATCATATAACGTACAATTTTTACTGTAAAACACAACTCTCCACCATTCTTTTGAAGATATACTAGTAATAGTAATTCATTCCTCATTTACATTGTACATAGTAAACCGGAGTGGACATATAACCCATTTTCATTCTACGCTATATGCAAAATTTTGTTCAAAGTTAAGATTGATTGATTGATTGTTGGTTGCTTACCGTCCAGTGGCAAATATTTCATGCATGTTCAGGACGAGAACAAGTTAACAATAAATACAATAGGTAGGTCTTGTAATAGAGGCCATCCGGAATGAAGGTCGGGGAAATTTGGACTGCCACTTGAAAATGAGGGTAAATTGGATAGGGACAGAAATTTTGCCTTGCAACAGGCCACCTACGGACCCATCAAAGAGTTGTAGCAAGGGTTATTAACGTGCAGAGAGCGTGGCACTCCCTTTAAAAGAGGCATTGGATTTAACGTCCCCATTCTGACCGGACGTGGCTGCAAACTTGTACATCCCGCACAGCCAAACGGACACCCCACTTTGGCAAGAGTTTTACTGCCGGTCGGAAGAAGACCAAGTGACCATACTTCTATTCCCGAGTCACCCTTGGAGGGTTCAAAGTAAAGAGGCCACGAAGGTATCTGGGGGATTGAAATATGGTCTTCTTCCTTCGAAAGTGAACCGTGGCAAAATTAGGTCGTCCGTTATCTTGCGGGATGTATAATTTCGCAGCCACGACCGGTCAGAATAGGGACATTAAATTCAACGCCTAGTGTAGTGACAGTGACACACATCCTACTTGTTAAGAACTATGGCAACAACTTTTAAGAGTCCTTTGCTGGGGCATTGCAAGGCTTGATTTCTATTCAAAATGCATCCGTTTCTTCCAGTGATCGTCCAAATCCCCGCCCTGTATCGCGGTCCTTTTACAGAAACCCATATTTTGTATTTTTTCTTACTATGTTTTCTTAAGCATAAGTCTTTTTTATCGGAGAATGATGTATATTTCCTTAGTCAAGCATATTTGCCATAGTTGATCAAAAGGTTAACAGAACCATATAATTATGTAAAAAAAATGTAATTTTCTACTTTCTTAAGATATCTACAACTGCCTCTATTTCACTGCGGTTGAAAAATCATATAACTAATGGTTTTCAGGTATATTTAACTTCTTGTGTTTTTTAATTTCATCGCTGCGATAAAGCCTTTTTGTGCTGAGGCAGCGTTAAGCAAAAACTAATTAATCAACCAATCAATCAATCTTAAATCAATGATAATCAATGTACCTAATAATTACTTGCATTAATCTTACTTACAAGAATAAAACACTGAATTGTGTTCCCAACAAATAAAATACATGAACTAAAATAATAAATCATAAAAAATAAACGATATTAACATTTCTTATTCAATTTGATTATTTTTATCAATGGAAGTTGAAAATTGACAATTTCATTGAAATTGTAGGCTAATTTCTTGTTCGAAATTAGTAAAATAACAAAGTCACTATTGAACTAATTGGCAAATTGCTGCTTCACAAACCAGTCAATGTGCAAGCCTTTACATAAACCTCACAAAAACTGTGCTTTCAAACTTGTTACATTTATTTTAAACCTTAGCATATTAATGCTATTAAAATTAGTCAATTATGTATTTAAATTGAGTCTGGGGTATAAAAATATGTCAATCCGCATAAAGGGAAGCATCTTGGAGGTTGAATTTTCAGGTTAAATAAAAAAGTATACAAAATACAGAACACGGCAAATTCAAAAAAGAATGTGACGCTTATGTTTTTTAAACTAAAAGTCCAAAGATCATCATTACACAATCACAAGGCAAAAACCCGTGTACGATTCACCTATTTGCATACAAATTGTTGAGGAAACTTAAGAACTTATATGGAAACATGTTATTTTTCGATCATGTATAATCTTATTGTAGTGGCTGCCGCTACACAAATCAACAAAGCACTCAAAATTTAGCCAAAGGGGATTAACAAAACTTTAAAATTGAAATATTTTTATTTAGATGTATATGTCATTCTCTTTTATATTTTACAAGACAGACAGTGTATATCTGGGTACTCTAAATGTGCCGATGGAATACAGTGTATTCCTGATGGAATGGCATGCACTGGTGATAGCGAATGTAGGGACCACTCAGACGAATCACCTGAGATTTGTCAAAACAGTAAGTCATTAGTATTAATTCTATTGACCATAACGTTCACGCAGTTTCAATCAACTAGATTACTACTTACGGTTATGTTACGTGTTTATGGGTACGGGCTAGCTTATTTATGAAAGCCGTACAATGCTCTAAAATTGTAAACATCATTTGGTCCTATTGCAACCACACTTTATCTCCTATAAAACAGTAAAATACGGAATGTGAGCTATATAGGCTGAACTGTTCATCCATCTCAGAAACATTAATATGACATTTAGTTTGATTAAATATCAATATCGTACCCATTGTTCTGGGGAAGTCTAGTACAACGAATTGTAAAGTTTTTCTCATATATTTTTAGTCTAAGGTACGCTTTCCTTGTTAAGTGCGTCATTTCGGTTGGGCGAGATGAACATCTACGATATCAAGAATTTAAGACGTTTACGCCGATTTCCCGGTATCTGCAAGTAAGAGAATCATTGCAATAACTTGAGGGGTCTTTAGTCTGTTGTAATGAAATAGTTGACCTTTTCCTACATTGAATCCTTTGTCCGAATTTTGATCAATAAAAAAAAATGTGTGCAGCATTCGTCATTTCACGAAATTTTATTCTGTTTGAATAACTAACTTCCGGAGCACATGAGATCAACCCCTGTTTTGGTGGGGCTCGTTGTGTTCAAACTTTAGTTTTATGTCTTTTAAGAGTTTTAATATGATGGTTTTATTCTATTCCAGAGCTACCCCCAGTCGTTAAAGATTTACGTGCAATACCGTATCAAGGATATATCAAAGTATTTTGGGCATGGCCAGACTTTGCTGGATCTGCAAGTGGATACAAAATAATTTATGGCAAGGAACTGTCAAGTTTAAGATATACACAAGACCTTGGACCAAGCAGAATCATGCACATAATCAATAACTTAGGTAATATTTTATTGTTACACAGATGACTTGAATATACCCTGATAAAAAAAATGTTTTGAATGCCAGAGATGTAGAACAACACAATTAAGAGAAAACGTAAAACGTTGTTACGTTACTGGTTATGTTGGTATCGGTGGAAATTTAGACTAATTGATTGATTTGTGATTGCTTTACGCCGCATCAGCACAAAAGGCTGTATCGCGGCGAGAGCTATTTTTAATAGTATAACAAAACGTTGTTTATTTTTAACCGACAAAAAGTCTTTCAATTATTAAAGCGAAAATACTTATTTACAAATTACAATTTATCAATACAATAACATGATAAAAACTTAAAATCATTTTAAACTGATACAACAAATTCAAATTTTGAAATATATTCCGATTTCTTTTAAAAAAGAAACAAGTGTTCCAAAAGGAATATTATTAAAAAAATCATACAAATTGGACAGTTAGAAAATCTGTATTCAAATCTTATATTAGCAGTATATATCAATTCATTTTACCGATCTTTTGTTGACCGTTTATCGATAGGTCACGTGATTTTAAAGGAATTACGGTGTTCATGCAGTCAATATGTGAAACATTTTAAAAGGAACACGTTGCATTTGATTTGATTTTTTTGTTTTGAAAAATTCTTTTAAACCATACAAGGTGAAATAACTTTTTTTTTATAAATGAATGTGTAGTAAATATACTTGTGTAGCAAGAAAGCGTGTCGTGTGACCAACATGTTTCTAATCATTTTCTAGAAAGCTATCCTCTCATATTGTTTTTAATTTTATATTTTGTTTTCTTTCTGTCCAGCACCCATAAAGTCAAACGCTTTATCATATTGAAAAAAAAGGATAAACTACATTTTGGTTAAATTCGAATTGTTCTATCGATTAAACTTTAGATCCCAATCTGCCTTACATAGATATTACACATACGTCTTTAACAATTGCACCAGGTGTAAGTGTAATTTGTCAACTATGCGGCGTATTACAAGACAACATGAGGTAAGATTTTGGGATTTCAAACAACCAACTTAAAGTATTCTTTTTTTTAGAACCAAATACTAGTTATTCAATAAGCGTCGTAACGTATAACAAATTGGGCGTAGGACAGAAAGTTACCATTAAGGCGATGACTCCTGGAGTATAAACTATGAAGGTAATATTAATATATAATTATGATAAAAAGGGATAATACGTATCAATTATGACATTATGTACTATATGATTAACAATATTTTCCAAATAACATGTTAACGTTAAACTGGCAGTTATATCAGCTCTTTAGAGCGCACTTGGGTTGTGACATAATTTATAATATTCTCTCTCATACAAAGGTGAGCTTAGATGAATTTAGCTATTATGTTTATGCAACAAAAACAAACGCCAACATACATTGAAACAATTTGATAACAACTGCCATATTCCTGACTTGGTACAGGACATTTTAAAAAACATATGGTGGGTTGAACCTGCTGTTATTGCTAGCCAAACCCCCCGCTTACATGGCAATATAAAAAATATATTGCTAAAATGACAACACAACGTGACAGAAATACAGCACAAACAAATGGAAGAACACTCAGCACAGAGAAATGCACAAATATATAATATAATATTCGTTACTACATGTAAACCGCAGAATAACAACGAACATCTTCCATTAACGATAGCACAGGACATCACAGACAGTGACGTATTTTTGTAACGTATATATAATCTTGAAATTCATACAATTATTTCACAATACTAGTCCAAACAATTATCATGATTAAAACGGTATTGAAAGAAGTCTTTTTAAAAGAAAAGAAATGCTGTGACGACGTCATAATTGTTTGGCTAATACAATACTTTATCCATGGAAAATGAAAATTAACTATACTAACATATACGACATATGTGAAATGTACCGAACATACAGAGTTTAAACCACAAACGATAAGACTTAACAATATATTCAACCGAAACATCATAAACAAATACATGAATGTTGGATGTATTAATACCAAAACACGTCGTTAAGCAATGCAAAATCACACCCGCCAAAATAGTCATTAACTTGGAACTTCCATTTTCAGGTGTAGCTATGGCTTACTGCTTACTAATGAAATGTGCTGAAGAAAAAGCAGTTAACTCCGTTTGATTGATTTGTTATCAATCGTGCTACATTTTAAATATAAATAAATTTCTGATTATCGTATCGTTGATGTTTTACCGAAGTAGTGTTTTTATTGCTGAATAGTCCTTTCCCTAAGTGTAACATTTGCATGTAGTATTGTAAAAAAAAGTTCTTAATCTGTTATTGTAAAAAAAAAGAAATAACTTGAAAACACAAAATCATGTTTAACAGTTATTTGCTGTCATTGCATTATCTTATCACGTACACGATTTCATGATCTATAGCTTCCTGTAGTAGCGAGCACATTTTAAACATGCTTTCAAAAATATTCGACGTCGTTTATTCGATTGATAAATTAAGTAATCATCATATAAGACTGTAAATGTCTTTTGTGTTTGATTTCAGTCCAACATATATGCATGGAAAGAAGTATGTCCTCACCTCAAACCGGTTTGACCCTACCGCATCTTGTGCTTGTACTATTCAAGCTCTCTAAACATAGCATTTATTGTTCGGAAAAGTTTGGTGAACTGTCCAATATTGCTTTTCCTGCTACCCTTTTGTAATATTTTAAAAAGGTTGACTTGGTTTGAAGGCTATAACTGTTAACCAATTTGAGAGATGGCTGTATATAGTTAAAACAATATTTTTTTCCATGAAGACGATACCTTAAGATGTGGATTTACAGCCCAAATTGTAATGCAAAATCAAAACAATGAATCAGAAATATACATCATGGAAATACATTCTTTCATTGAATACAATTTTCAAAATAAAACTCTAATACATGTTATTGATTCCTCCAGCACTAAGGGCAGGATGACAATTTATGTAAAAACAGTCAGGATAAACTATTAAAAAAAAGGCTGGACCGAATAGAGAAAAATATTGACATTATTGGTATGGTTCATTGTTTTTATAATTTCTAGTATATTAGATTACTTACTTCTGTCAATAGAAAGGTGATATATTCCTCAGGTAAGGTTAAGATTGGACAGTTTAAACAGCGGGTTTTATAACTTTTATACTTTGGCTTTCGATAACGATTGCACTTGATAAAGGTTCAATCAGGGTGTTATGTGCTGTTATCACATCAGTAGACAGCTATACTTACACATTGCCATAAGAAGGCATCATTATTTAAATTGTGTACAATCGCACAATCTTTGTTGAATTTAAAAGCCAAAATTACAAATATACGAGAAGATTGCATAAAGTCAAAACGGAACGAGCTAGTGTAGCGACAAGATTAACGTTTAACTCTGTGCATGCATTACCATGATGCCAATACAGTTAAAGCTTCACAAGACGCAACAGAACACAATCAGTACATTTTTACATATTTGTATAGAAATTAAACAAAGAAGGACGAAATTCTACTGCATACATTTTGGTAATTTATAATTAAAGTATGTCAAAAACTCAGTAGTCAGTTCTTCCATACTGGCATGATTTTTTGACAAACTTTCTTCATTTCTCCGTTGATGAATTCAGAAATATTTAGAATCTAGATTCCAAATCTTTCAAGCTGTAAACATTATATAGATATGACTATTATGTAGGTCCCTTTGGAAAAATAGCTCTCCATGTGTTAAGGTGGTATACATCACTTTATATTTTGTGTTCGCGCGTTTTCGTCCGACTTTTACAATTTATTAACAGTAAGTTCGCTACGAGCTTTAAAGTTAAGTTTATATATAAATAAATCTAAATAGTCTGGTAATGTTTTTTTTCTGTCCTTTTACTGTTTAGATGACATTTTAATGATAGATTTTCGTACTTCTTTTTATTATAAAGTTTAAAAGATGGCATTTTCTTGACGAACTGTCAATAATTAATTGTGTTAAAAAAGAGGGACGAAAGATACCAGAGGGACAGTCAAACTCATAGATCGAAAACAAACTGACAACGTCATGGCCAAAAATAAAAAGACAAACAGACAAATAATAGTACAGATGACACAACATAGAAAACTAAAGACTAAGCAACACACACCCCACCAAAAACTGGGGGTGATCTCAGGTGCTCCGGAAGGGTAAGCAGATCCTGCTCCACATGTGGCACCCGTCGTGTTGCTTATGTTATTACAAATCCGGTAAATAGTCTAATTTGGTAAGTCACATTCGTGAAAAGGGAAGGGTATTGTAGTTACGACATAAGGAACATATCCGATATCATCTGTGAAACGGTTATCCCATAACGGTCAACCAACTCGTGATGGCGTCCGTAAAATTTACGAAGGGATGACTTCAACTTCACCATTTCGAACTCTTGGTTTAATAGCTTCCTTGTGAGCAGCAATCCTCTATCAAGGAAATCATGATAGGAAACACAAGCCCGGGAATATCGTATCAATTGGGAGATATATACTCCGTATGCAGGCGCTGCTGGAATGTTGCTACATAGAAATGGAAAGTTCACAATTGGGAAGCTGAAATCATCTCTTTTGTCGTAAAGTTTAATGTGATAACTTAATGATTGGGATACATGTAGTTGCTTTCCTCTATTAACTTAATACGTAATTAAAGGAAGGGAACATTAGATCATTTTATTGATACATACTTATACTGCCTTATTTTATTATATGCTGACATGAACATTAATGATGCACTTCCGTTTTCGGACGGACGAGGTGCATGTCAAGTTACTTATAACACTGCTGTATTTGTCAAATTAACGTTTTACAGTAATTGCCAATCATCCAACTGTTTGTCTGGTAAGTTTTTTTGTCTCATTAGAAGACTCTCAAGTACGACATTAAACATTTTTTAATCATATACGAATGAGTAAACAATGTTGGAAGATCAAGACTGTTATTGTAATTATACATGAGATTATTGTAGAAAGGAATTAAACATATATTTAATTTTCAAGTTAAAATTGAAGGGCCAATTATCATGCGGTCTTCTCGGTTATGTTTTTGATATTGCAGTAATACATCAAAAGTAAGGGAGACGTTTGAGTATTCACATATCTATTCAAACCCGGCCACAATTTACTTTAATTTGCAAATACAGGAACCAGGTCATCAGTTGTCTTTGAAGAAACTTTAATTCATGTTTATCGTGTCTAGTCACGGGACTGAGTACTATTTGATATAACATATACATGCCCTCATTTTGTCGGTTGACCTTTTAAGTCAACTTTTTAAATGTGTTTCTTTTATTGCTAAATTTCATTATCCTAGGGTTTAATACATCTTGCACATTTTCTTCAACTAGGGGATGATTGTTTTTCGTCACTACTTTTATGTGTATTCATATTGCCAAAAACAATTGTAAAATAATATTCTTGTTTATATAATCTGTAATTTAGCAAATTGATGTTCCGTCCAAAGCATTCCAAAAAGTTTGTTTCTGGGAAATGTGGGAAACAAATTATTTTACGCATTACTGTATAGAAAAAAAAGTTTGTTAAAAATTAATAATTGTTGCCTAATTTAAAATATGAAAACAAAGTTGGACATCGTGTATTTTTAACTGACTGAAAAGTGACAGGGGAATATAAGGTTTGATTCTATTATTAAATCATTTAATAGCATATATAGTTGCATCAAATGTATATAGTATCCCTATCAGTATAAAATTTCTATGATTTATAATATCAGCAACCCAATAGTCATCTATCTAGGAGTACGACCATACTCAATATAAAGTTGCATGCATGTAGTAAGTTTGAAGTCAACTAAAACTATTCAGTATTCAGCGACACAATGGCAAAATTATAAATGACCAATGAAATAAATAAAAATTGGGAATATTAAGTCAAAGAGACAACAATCCAATTAGGATAATTATCACCAAGTGGTATCCATGGTTCCTACATCAACGGCCATGGCACCTTCATACCAAAGGGTAAGCTGAAGAATATTTACATGCCCTTACAAGTTTATAAAATGAAATTGAATTTAAAAGCCATACCTGACTAGGGGGATACAAAATATACATGTACATGGCAAACTATCAATCAAACATTTTATTTTTGATAACAAAAGATATTCACAGGTCTCACACAACTCAATTTAAAGCATGGAAAACAAACAAAAACTGAAAAAGTAAAACTGCAACAAAGAACATATTCAAAATTTTCAAGCTAGTTAATAGTTGCTTCCACAGTCTGCAAGGTATTGGAGCAGGATAGAAAGGCGCCGGGGATGGTATACTTGTATGCACTGTAATATTTCTGAACAAAGAAGGCAATTGGAAACTACTGGTACCACTTTTTGAGAGGCACATTTTCTTTGCAGCTCTGGCCCTGCTTTGTGTCTTTCTGTTGACAGGAAATGGCCTTAAAAACAGCAGAAAAAACATTGTCTCAGAAAAAAATCCAAAGCCCCCTTCCCCCGAAAATCAAAAGGTTACTGCCTAACAGATCGGAATATAATTATGAACGGAAACTACTCAAAGCATATATAATTATCTACTTGATATAATATTATCTGATTGACCTTCTGATTAATTTCTAAACTGTCGATGACTTTTCGTTGACATAAAATTATTGCAATTACAATCAATAATGTAACTTGTTATTACAATCCTTAAATGTTTTAAACGCCACCAGAATGTTTTCCATACAAAATAACGAGTTACTGAGGATAATTTTTTAAAAGCTAATTTAAATAACATTAATATACCATATGTCTTGTCTCGTTGCTTCATTAATGTTATTAAATTCGTTCACTTCGTGCAAAGATTTTTTACAGTTGAAGGACAAAATAGTTGTTTATCAATTTGCTGACTAAAGGTCTGTGTTTGAATTAATATACGTAGATAAGTTTGTAGTTACTGTTGTCTGTGTGTTGGCTTTTCTGTAGGTCCCTCTAGACATTTAGGTCTTATACATAACTTGATTTAAAGTGTTTGTGTATGTGCGTTTTTATCCATCTTTTAGTTTTTGCGATGAGTTTTAAAGTTAAAATCATATTTAAAATAGTCTGGTGATGTTTTTTTCTCTGTCCTTTTTTCTGTTTAGATGACATGTTCATGATATATTTTCGTACCTCTTTTTATGATAAAGTAATAAAGATGAAATTTGCTGTTTTGTTGATGAATCATCACAAATTAATTGTGTAAATGTCATAA